CCGTGGGGGCGGGGGAGTGCAGAGCTGTGCCTGAGTCGCCCTGCTGCCCTGCCCGGACAGATAGTGGAGTGCAGACTGAGGCAGACCTTCCGTGGCATGAGCCACTGATTGGTTCCTCCAGTGCAGACCCCCGGCTGCACGTTCGGCAGGCAGGGCCGGGGGCAACTATACATTCAGGGAATAAATAGGGATCAGTCCTGACCAAGCCCTGGGAGACCCGGAGGTCCTTGGGAAGGCGGAGGCTGTGTCGAGATAGAAGGAACAGCTTGAGCAAAGGCATGGGGTCTGGGGTGCCAGCCAGGGCCAGGCATCGGGCAGGAGGGGGCGCTGACCTGGCCATCTGCGGAGGATGCAGACGGGTGCCAGGCTCCCTCGGGCAGGCCTTCCAGCCAGAGCAGGGCCCGCCGAGGTCTGGGGTGAGCTGCGGTAGAATCGGCGTCAGAGTCGGCCCCGCGGCTGCTTTGGCCCAGCCCTCGTGCATGGAAAACTCGCAGGCTTTCCGCCGAGGTCCAGCCATCTCCTGGTGCTGGCAGTGGGGAGGACTAGGCACTGCCGTTAGCTCCCCTCAGTAATCCCGAGTTGAGAGGGAGCTGTGACTCCCCAGGCAGGGCAGGATCCCCCAGGCCACCTGGAGCAGAGGCGGAGACGGGGAGGGGGGTTAGTTTAGTGGGGTGAGGGTGTAGGGAGAGGCCCCTCCTTCTGGAGGAAGCTCCTAGCAGACCCTCAGCCACACTCAAGCGGCCAGGCTTGCTCTCACACGATCTCCAGGGCCCAGCGCACCCCTTGCTGCAGACTGTGGGCACTGGTTAACCTGTCCATGCCTGTCCTCCCAGAGGGGTGGGTAGACAGGAGCCAGTGCACCACTGGGGCTCCGCAATGACCCTGGTCGGAAGCCTGGAGCCGGAGGGCATGATCGGCAGTCCGTAGGAGAGGACAGGGTTCCTCCTGGCAGTGGGGGTGGGAGGAAGCTGGGGGGCGAGGAGAGGGCCCAGGGCGTTTCCTTGTCTCGTCTGGACACTGCCAGCACTGGGGGCAGAGCTTGCAGTGACATGGAGGGAATCTAGGTACGAGCCACTGGCTTTTGCCAGGGCTCTTAGCCCCCCAAGGCCTGCTGGTGCCCAGGTCTGAGTTCAGCTCTAGCCTGGAGAAGGGCCAGTGCCTGCTCGGGGCCGGCGGGAAGTTTCTGTCCAGCCCCACAGGTCGCTGCCAGCCACAGGCTGGGGACAGAGTGAAGGCAGCAGGCTGCACTCTCCCTGCAGGCCTCTGGGCCAGACTGGCTGCTCGCTCTGGGGCCTGCACAGCTACCCTAGGTTTCTGCGCCGACCGCGCGGTCGTGGGCCTTTGCGCAAGTACGCTGATGCAGTAGCTCTTTGGGATGCTGTGGACTTAGGTCACACACAGGCCCAGCGAGGATACTAGGCCAGAGGGGCCTTTCCAGGCTATTCCTGCAGAGGGTCTGCCTGCTTCCTCCCCGGGGTCTGCCAAGCATCTTACCCTCAGAGGTCCCAGAGAGTCGGCCCAGAAGAGGCACAGCCCTGCAGGTCTGCGGGAGGCACCGCCCAGGGCTCATGGTGGGAGGGAAGAAGGAAGGCCAGTTTCAGCCCCGCCTGGATGGCCCGCTGGCCCCACAGCCTTCCCTCACAGCACTGGCTGCCATCTGTGAGGTGGGAGGACTGCTGGGTGTCACCAAGATCTGTCTACACTGATGCCCCAAGGCCTAGTCCTCTGGCCAGGGCTCCGCCTCCAGGGAGAAGAGCCTTCTCACTCTCCGAGCCCCTCTCCGGGACCTCCCTTACCAGCTGTGAGGGAGCCCCTGTGGTGACAGGCAGGGGTGGGGGTCTGGGCTCTGCAGTTGCTGGGGTAGGACCGTCTCTGCTTGCTTCACGGACTAAAGCGGCCCCAGCCCAGCTTCCTGCCCTGACGTGTACGGGACAGGCCATGCCCACGTGCTTCCTGTCTCTGCCTTAGGAGGCAGGGCTGCTGGCCGCCTCACTCCCCAGAGGACACCAGAATCTGGGCAGGGCTGGCCCCTCCAGACTGCCGCTGGCACTGCCATCCCCAGGAGGGGCCTTGGAAAGCAGTCTAGCCCCTGCCCGTCCTGCCCCCACTGGCTGTCCCCTCGGGGGAGGATGGCTTCTCTGGTGTGGGGCTGGGGGTGTCATCCCAGCCAGGGCAGAACTGGAGGAGGCGGGGTCTTTGTACTCTGCCAGTCTGCAGGGTGGGCGGGGCCTCGCTCGCTGTCCTGAAGCCTGTGCTCTTTTGCAGCCTGTGGCAAGCTGACGGGCATTAGTGACCCTGTGACCATCAAGACCTCTGGCTCAAGATTTGGGTCCTGGATGACAGACCCTCTGGCTCCAGAAGGTGACAACAGGGTAAGTGTCCCCTGACCACCTAATGGGGTCATTTGGGCAAAGCGCTTTCCTGGGACCTGCAGGCCCTGGGCTCTGTCTCTCACCCCAGTGCCAGCTGTGCCCCCCTGCCAGACAGTGCCCTCCAGAGGCCATGGACTGGGCAGAGCTGGTGATGGGGAGACTGGGGCGGGGTCCAGGTCTCTGTGCTCTGTGCTCACCCTAACCACAGGGTGGGGTGCACCATGAGGATGGTGGTGGCCAAGGAGACCCCTCCCACTTCAGAGCCCCTGCTGGGCCGAGCTGGACCCCGAGCCATTGCCTCCGGGGCCGAAGCAGCCTGGTTCCCGTTCCTGGCTGTGTGTCCTGAGAGCAGCCATCGGGCCTCTCTTGGGTTCAGGACGTCTCATTTGTATCTCATTTGCCATTCCTTTCATGGCTGAGAGAAACTCATGTTCCTTTTTGATTTAGGAAAGAGGCCAAGCTCTTTTCTTTCTGTCCCCCCGGGTAAAACCTTAGAAAAGGAGAGAAACAAGCACCACAGTTGTCTTGATCCAGGGCTGGGCTTTGCTGCCGGAGCCCCTTGGGACATGAGGGATAGGGGTCTCATTTGTATCTCATTTGCCATTCCTTTCATGGCTGAGAGAAACTCATGTTCCTTTTTGATTTAGGAAAGAGGCCAAGCTCTTTTCTTTCTGTCCCCCCGGGTAAAACCTTAGAAAAGGAGAGAAACAAGCACCACAGTTGTCTTGATCCAGGGCTGGGCTTTGCTGCCGGAGCCCCTTGGGACATGAGGGATAGGGGTGGCTGCCACCCGGCCCGCCTCAGCCGCTGGAACCCAGGTCCTTGCACTGGCCCTTTCACAGCAAAGGCGATGCAGGTCAGGGGCCCCGGAGCAGGAGAGCAGCTGCCGCTGGCCCTCCCCTGGCGCCCGTGAGCCTGACCAATATGGTCGGGGTCGGGCACCTCTCTGGGTGTTTCCCCCGGCCTCCTCTCCTTCAGGGTTTGCAGGGGATTTAGAAATAAAACACTTAAGAGCAGCTCAGCCCCTCCTCTGGGCCATGGAGAAGCGACTTTGAAATGGGAGCATCTAAACTTTATCTAGAGCCTTTCCAGTGAAGCCAGAGTGATGGCAGAGCCCTCCCTCTGAGCCCCCAGAGAAGGCCCTGGCAGTGCCATCTCTCACGTCTAACTCAGGGACAGCCCTGTGCGTCTGGCACACTTCGCTGCCCAGGAAGGCAGATGGGGACAGGGAAAGACGCTTTTCAAGGACCCTATTCCACCTGTCTATCAGCCCTCGGCGAGGGGCTCCACCCCACCCTACGCTCATCCCAGCATCTGCTGCGGGGCTGGAGGGGCTGTCTGGACTGCACGGCTGGGATACGGTCGGGTCGGGCACCTGTAGGGCAAGGCAGGTTTGTCCTTATCTCCTAAGTGCGGCAGGTGCTTGGGAGTTCCCAAGCAGTTTAGTTGACAGTTCCAATGGGTCTTTCATCCCCAACCCCACCCGGACGCCCACCTCTGCCCGGGTTTGGTTAGGAACTGCTTCTCACCGCGGACGGTGCAGTAGTAACAGTGACACAGAAATAGAAACGGGTGACAACAGCATGTAGGGTCCAGGTCCCGTGTGCCAGGATTGCTCTGAGCACCTCGTGTCTGCACGAGCACTGTGAGGACCAGAGGGAAGAGTCCCAGCAGGCCTGCCCCAGGGGCCGCCAGCGCCACCCCCACCGTGTCGAGGACATGCAGCCTGCTCGCCTCTGGTGCCCCAGGTCTCAGAAGAGGTTGTGCCTCCCCATACCCTGGGGGCCTCGAGGGCCTCCCATCTCCCACCACTGCCCTCCACCCCGCACCCACGTGAGCTGAGGGCCGTGGGCTGTGAGCAGAGCTGAACACCTCGCTGCTCACTGCTGCAGTCTGGAGTCTGTCTGGGCCTAGCACAAACCCCGGCCTCCTGCCGACCACTCTCCTCTGTCAGGTGCCTAGGCACGTAGCCTTGTGCAGTCCCGGGACCCAGGGCTTCTGAGGCGTGCAGCGAGGATGCTGGTCTGCAGCGCTGTGGAGGTGCTGACGGGTGCTTTGTAATTAGACGTCTGTTTTCTGCCCAATGGCTCGATTGCCCTCCAGGGCTTGGACAGACAGCGTGTGGAGGAGGAGGAGGGGAGGGCGTGCCACCCCCAGGGAGGCAGGCGGCTGGCCCCAGTGTGGCCCCAGTGCTTCGGCTGCAGCCTGCTGAGTGACACACGCGGCCCGCCTTGACGTAGGCCAGTGTGTTTGCTTTGACCCTTTCCAGTCTCCCGTCTAGTTTTCATCACAGCCAGGCTGAGACCACTAACTCACTCCAAAAAGATGGAGAAATTGACGTGGCGTCAGGGCAGGCAGCGTGGAGAGCGTGGAAGCTAGGCGTGGCCAAGGGGTGGGCGAGCTCAGCTCCAGGAGACCCCCGGAGTCTTGCCGCCCGTGCACCCTCAGACTCTGTCCTGCCTTCGAACCGGGCTATTGGAGCGTGGTTGGCTCGGGCCGACTTTGCCTCCGTCCTCCGTCACGCGTGTGTGACACGCGAGCTGTGTTCCAGACCCCATGCCGAGTCCCGGGGCCCTTCTACCATGGGCCTGCACAGACATCCCAGGTCAGCTCACATCGCCATCAGAAGGGGGAGCAGCACGACCTCTGGACACCCCCAAAGCTCACGTTCAACAGCGGCGACAGTCGCTGAAACACCGCCACTGTACAGCCGCAGTGAGCCGGAGTGCTGTGTGAGAGCCCTCCAGTCGCCAAGCAGTGCCCGTAACTGCATGTGACTCAGCACCTCCAAAATCTCGCTTCCTGAAGCCGGAGTACCCGAGTGCACTGTGGGGGTGCAGAGACCGTCGGCCCAGTGCCTGCCACTCAGTAAACACCAGCGACCCTCTGGCCGGTCCCTCTGAGCAGGGAGCTTCCAGTCCTGCACTTCCCTCTGCTCCCTTCAGCCTTCACTCTCCTGGCAGAGCCTCCAGCGAAGCCTGCCAGCACTCCTCCCATCCAGCCACACCCCTTCCCATTCAGCCAGCACCCCCTCCAGGCAGCACCTCCTCCCATCCAGCCAGCACCCCCTCCTGTTCAGCCAGCACCCCTCCAACCAACCCCCCTCCAGTCTGGCCAACATCCCTTCCTGTCCAGCCAACACCCCATTCTGTTCAGCCAACACCCCCTCCAGCCAGCACCCCCTCCCGTCCTGCCAACACCCCCTCCTATTCAGTCAGCACCCACTTCAGCCAACACCCTCTCCTGTCCAGCCAGCACCCTCTCCTGTCCAGCCAGCACCCTCTCCTGTCCAGCCAGCACCCTCTCCTGTCCAGCCAGCACCCTCTCCTGTCCAGCCAGCACCCTCTCCTGTCCAGCCAGCACCCTCTCCTGTCCAGCCAGCACCCTCTCCTGTCCAGCCAGCACCCTCTCCTGTCCAGCCAGCACCCTCTCCTGTCCAGCCAGCACCCTCTCCTGTCCAGCCAGCACCCTCTCCTGTCCAGCCAGCACCCTCTCCTGTCCAGCCAGCACCCTCTCCTGTCCAGCCAGCACCCTCTCCTGTCCAGCCAGCACCCTCTCCTGTCCAGCCAGCACCCTCTCCTGTCCAGCCAGCACCCTCTCCTGTCCAGCCAGCACCCTCTCCTGTCCAGCCAGCACCCTCTCCTGTCCAGCCAGCACCCTCTCCTGTCCAGCCAGCACCCTCTCCTGTCCAGCCAGCACCCTCTCCTGTCCAGCCAGCACCCTCTCCTGTCCAGCCAGCACCCTCTCCTGTCCAGCCAGCACCCTCTCCTGTCCAGCCAGCACCCTCTCCTGTCCAGCCAGCACCCTCTCCTGTCCAGCCAGCACCCTCTCCTGTCCAGCCAGCACCCTCTCCTGTCCAGCCAGCACCCTCTCCTGTCCAGCCAGCACCCTCTCCTGTCCAGCCAGCACCCTCTCCTGTCCAGCCAGCACCCTCTCCTGTCCAGCCAGCACCCTCTCCTGTCCAGCCAGCACCCTCTCCTGTCCAGCCAGCACCCTCTCCTGTCCAGCCAGCACCCTCTCCTGTCCAGCCAGCACCCCCTCCTGTCCAGCCAACACCCCCTTCTGTCCAGCCAGCACTCCCTTTCCGGCATCGTCTGCAGCCCCCAAGCACCTCAATGTCTGCAGTTCTGTCAGGAATTCTGACAGATGCCACCAAACCAAAGAGGAGCAAACCGGCCCGAGTCATCAAGCGAAGGCCATCAGTAGCGTCCCCTCCCAACTCCCAGGGTGGTGGTGCTGCAGGTGCCCCTGGTCTGGTGGTGCAGTTTCAGCACAGATAGAGGCTGATCGCCCAGCCCTGCCCCGGAGGGGATGGCTGTCTTCATGGAAAAGCAGCTGGAAATCAGGGGACGCTTTGGAAAATCCCACGTTCTCAACAGACTCGGCTACGTGGGCCACAAATGCCATTAGGAAGGGGGTGGCCGTCTTCCTGCGTGGGGAGCAGCATTGGGCTGGAGTTTTAGGGAAGCCTCACCCCTGGAGGCACAGTCTTCACAAACAGGCATGGACCCACAGGAGCAGCCAGATGGCCGCTGCATTGTTCCATCTTTTCTGGCAAAGGCACCCCCTTGGGTGGGGGCGGGGATCAGGCAGGGCCTGGGGTGCCCCGAAAACAGGCCCAGGGAAGGAGCTGGGGACCCAGCGGAGCTCATCAACAGAGAAGCCGCTGTGTGACTGGGAGCTCTCAGCCCTGCATCTCTGCTGCAGGGTTAAGGGAAGGCCGTGAGGGGACATGGCGCGGCCTGCTCCCCACTGGCCCCACGGACTACGTGGAGGCCCAGGTCCCCGTCCTGGCTTTGTGTTGTTTCTGGGCCTTGGGGCCGGGCTGGTCTCCATCATTCCCTGTCTGTGCTGTGGGTGACATCAGACAGGTGTCCCTGGAGCACCTGGTGGGGTACCTGTGGGCAGCAAGGCCCAAGCCTGAGTCAGCATCTCTGCCACCCTTCCCAGTGGGAAGAACGCCTCTGGGGCACCCCTTACATTCCATCTCCCAGGGTCACGGTCAGAGTGAGATGGGCAGGACAGGGTGCAGGGGTGCTGCAGGGCGGCTCCATGAGGCGGAGCGGATGGGGCACCCGGGCCTCTGTGCGTGAAGAGGACTCGGCCAGCTCGCCTGCTCACCCGGGAAGGACGTGCCGAGCACTGCACTGCCGAGAGGCTGTGGGGGACAAGCAGCGCCCGGTGCACTCACAGGCCACTCTCCCTGTGGGCGGCCCTTGGTGGGGGGCACTCTCCCTATGGGCATCCCTCGGTGGGGGGCACTCTCCCTGCAGACGCAGTGGGGAGAGACGGCCACGGGAGCTTGCGGATCCTGCTCCCTGGGCCCCATCCTCTCTGGGACTGCACTGCCTGCAGACCCCTCTGAGCTCCCCTTCCCTCTGCCTGGGGGGCCCGAAGTCCTTCTGCAAGAGGACTCACGTAGGGGCTATGGCCCACAGTCAGCAGCTTTGGGAGGACAGGGGCCATGTTCCTGGCTCCTGGAAAACCAGGTGCCACTGTGCACGTTGTCTGGGCCACCTGGAAGACAGCCGGGTCTGCCTGAGCCACATGCTCACGGGTCTCGGGAGACTCAGAACGGGGAGCTACAGCCCTGGGGTTTCGCTTAACCAAGGCCTTGCAGGCCAGTGGTCAGGTGGACTGTGTGCTGGGCTCTCCTGGACACCTGATGCTGGGAGAAGCTGGCAGCGGGCCTTGGAGACCGTGGAGGGACACCTGGCTGGAGGGCTCGTTTCCCGAGGACACAGAAAGGAGCTGCCATGTGAGGTTGAAAACGAGGTCCCTGAGGGAGCAGGAGCAGGCAGCACTCCTGCAGTGGTTGGAGGGGTGGGTGCCCGTGGAGCACGGCAGAGTGGGCTGGGCATAGACGGCATTGCTGTGAGGGGCAGCAGCCTCGGAGTCTAAGTGGAGAGGACACGCTCCAGGCAAGGGCAGTGGGACATGCCACAGGCAGGACTTAGGCAGGCAGGCAGGTAACAGGTCACAGGCAGGCAGGACGTGGGCAGGCGGGTGGGCAGGCGGGCTTGCTTCCCTTATGCAGTGGGAGGCTCTTTGGAGTCCAGGACCCTGAAACAGGTATGGCGGGGGGGGGGGCCCTCCCAAAGGCCCCGGCGGTATGGCGGGGTGAGCTCCCTCCAAAGGCTCTAGGGAAGAGTCTTCCCCATCCCCACCAGCGCCTGGTGGGCCAAGGGTCCCTTGGCTTGTGGTCACATCTCTGCAGCCTCTGTCCCCACTTCACATGGCTGTCTCACTGCGTCCGTGACCTCTCTTCCTCTCTCTCCTGTAAGGACCCTTGTCCCTGGATTTAGGACCCGCCCTAATCCAGGATAGCCCTGCATCTCAGACGCCTGACTCTCCTCAAATCAGGTCACTCTTTCAGACCCCAGACCGCAGGCATAGCTTTTGGGGGACACCCATCAGCCCGCAGTGAAGGTTGACAGCTCCCTGGGGCTCCTTGTCACAAGCCCTCGGGTTCTGATTGCAGTCCCCACCTGGACGGAAGGCTTCTCCCTGGGAACCTGGACTGAGCCGTGCAGAGTGTTTACCCCATGGTGACTGGCAGGCAGCAGGGGCAACCTCCCCAGCCTGGCCCCAGGCCCGAGCCTGCCGTGAGCGTTCAGCCCCCACGCTGATCTCCCACACACCTGGGTTGTATTTGCAGGAGGTGGCGTGTCCAGCTTACTGTTGGGAGGAAATTCCACTTAAAGTCCATGTCACTGAAGTTGACGTCACCCAGTTCTGTCCCCAGAAAGAAGGGGCTGGACCCTGGGGACATGGGAACAAGTCAGACAGGGTCCCCACTGGCAAGGACTCGTGCAGGGGAGGCTCCCGTATGAATGTATTCAAAAGTGCTCCCCACATGAAGGTGGGGAGAGGCGGCTCCTTCAGAGTGGCTCTGGAGAGGGTCAGGGGAAAATGTCATTGGAGCTGAGTCTCAAAAGTAGCAATGACCAGCTGGCACGGGGGCTGAGGCAGCTCCATCTCACATGGTCGACCATGTGCTTCAAGTCGCAGACCCAGCAGCTTGAAAAGCACACTGGGCGGTGTGTGCACATGCCCCGAGTCCCGAGGGGAGTGGAGGATTAGGGACGGTAGCACGGCCACCCGCTCTGGGGGTGCTTCCTCACATCCCTCCTCCCTCTCGGTCTCCGGGCTCGGTAAGCAGAGGGGAGTGCTGCTCTTCAGCAGGGGACCCAGGGGTGTCGTGCACAGCTCCCACCGACGGCACCCCTAGTTCTAGTCCGAGACCTGTCACTGCAGGCTGGCCTATGGAATCTGGGGAGAAGAGCAGCCTCAAACGAGTCCCCGTTTAAAAAAGTAACCTCATTAAAAACAAAAAGCACATCTGTCTCGAGGCATCTAGGGGAGTCGGGAGCAAGGCTATGATTTTGTGATTTCTGACACACACATAGCCTCAGCCGAGGGCCCGCGTCCCACCAGCAGATGCGCGGGAATGGCGCCGGCTGCCAGGCTCGCCTCTGCGTGACTGACTGCTCTCTAACTTGCTCCCTTATTGGTGAAGTGATAAAGCACCTCTACGACGTCTAGACAGTTCCCGAGTCCGCTGGCATTTAAGCATCGGGACTCTGTAACCCGCGAAGCTCTGTAACCCAGACCCGGCCACCCTGGGTCCGCTCTCTCGGCTGATTTGACAGCCAGAGTCTCTGCGAAGTCCCCGTTCTCCTCGGCAGGCGCTTCCCCAGGTTAGGTGTGACGATGAGGTACACTCGGCATCCCACGTGCCAAATGAGTGATGTGGCGCCCAGCAGCGGAGTGGCCGGGCTCATGGTGCCCCACTGGTGTGTGGAAGATGGCCCTTTTGGTGCCCTTGAGAGCTGGTTGTCACCAGACAGGAGCCACCCGGTGCTGCGCCCATCTGTCGTGCCCAGAGCCAGGCAGCTGTGCCCTTCCCAAGGCCACCTTCCTGGTGTCAGGTCCCCACCTGGGCAGTTTCTGTGTCCCACACAAGCATATGTGCCCCGGGCCAGGAAAGGAGGGAAGGAAGGGCAGGGAAGGAGCGAGCCCCGCCGCGGCTGCCACCCATGCCCACAAGGCTGAGGTGCCCCTGCGGCGGCTCCCACGGTGCGCGTCTCTTGGCGGACAGCCCTCTCCCCGGTCCCCCTCCTGGAAGTGCATTGTGGGCCTGGGGGGAAGGGTGCACCCTCTGGGCGGGCCGCCCTGCTCCTGGGCGCTGACGGTCGTGTCTCCACAGGTCTGGTACATGGACGGTTACCACAACAACCGCTTCGTGCGCGAGTACAAGTCCATGGCCGACTTCATGAACACGGACAACTTCACCTCTCACCGCCTGCCGCACCCTTGGTCGGGCACGGGCCAGGTCGTGTACAACGGCTCCATCTACTTCAACAAGTTCCAGAGCCACATCATCATCAGGTTCGACCTGCGGACCGAGGCCATCCTGAAGACGCGCAGCCTGGACTACGCCGGCTACAACAACATGTACCACTACGCCTGGGGTGGCCACTCGGACATCGACCTCATGGTGGACGAGAACGGGCTGTGGGCCGTCTATGCCACCAACCAGAACGCCGGCAACATCGTCATCAGCAAGCTGGACCCCACCTCGCTGCAGGTCCTGCAGACCTGGAACACCAGCTACCCCAAACGCAGCGCCGGGGAGGCCTTCATCATCTGCGGGACCCTGTACGTCACCAACGGCTACTCGGGGGGCACCAAGGTGCACTACGCCTACCAGACCAACGCCTCGACCTACGAGTACATCGACATCCCCTTCCAGAACAAGTACTCCCACATCTCCATGCTGGACTACAACCCCAAGGACCGCGCCCTGTACGCCTGGAACAACGGCCACCAGATCCTCTACAACGTCACCCTCTTCCACGTCATCCGCTCCGACGAGTTGTAGCTCCCTGCCCGAAGCCCAGGGTCCGGGTCCTCGCCCACCAGGAGACTCCTGTGCACAGCTGCCAAGACGATACAGTCGCCGTGACCCTGACCTCGGAGGGGCAGCGACCCCGAGGGGCAGCTCTGCCTCCTGCCTCCCGCGCACGCGGCGGCCTTCGGAAGAAACCCCTGGGATTGCAGCTGGAACTGCAGCTCGAGGCCGCGGCCGCCCCGCCCGTCCCTCTCCGGTCAGAGACCACACTGCAGAAGCAAGGCACTGGCTGTTGGCCACTCCTCACCTGAGACCCCACTGTCAGGGGGGCCGGTGGGGGCGACTGTCCCGCCCTCGACAGCCCCGGGCCGCGCTCGTGGCCGGCCGGACTCACTCCCATCACGCTGCTGTCGACTGTGTCTGTCTCCTAGGTCACCTGTACCGGGACCCCAAGCCGCTCACGGACCCGCGTCCCGTCCTCACTTCAGCGACGGCCGGGGTGCAGAATGGGGCTACTCCGCCGCGTCGCTGGAACCCGCGTTCCCGTAGATATTTCGTGCCATGTGTGTCCGTTGTCCCCTTGAGGTGGTGACGTCGTCCGGTTATGCAGTGAATGTGGTAAATGCAATGCCGTAGTTTGGATTAATAGGTGGATGGTTTTTGTTTCTAAACATGAAAAAAAAAGAAAATCAGTGTTCACCCTTGTAGAGACGTAGACGTAGCCCAGTTCGTGTTGGTGATAACCCGGAACTCTCCTCTCTTGTTAAACGGCCTAACTCACGTGCGCGCCGTGGGAAGGGACTGTGAGGGCGGCGGTGTACGGAAAGGACATTTTTTAAGTTGGGGGGGATCTTTGTACTACCCAGTTATCTAAGGAACAATAAAACATTAGGAGAGGTTCTGCTCTACGCGTCATTTCTGAGGGTTTTAAACGTCGAGACTCCCACGGCTGAGGGCCTATCCCAGGGCTTAGAGGGGTCTTCGGAGCAGGAAAACGGGCCCTTCCTCTGGAAGACAGTGACGGATGCGTTTGCCATGGGCTCCCTAACTGTCCGGCCCCCAGAGCTGGGCCGACAAGCTAGCGGGAGCCTCAGGAGACGCTGCTCAGATCCAGGCCTTACCGCACCCACCCTACCCCACCCCTCTGCTCCTCGCCAAGGCACAGCCACAAGCCTGGGGCTGGCACCCCCTAGGCCACCCTGTCATGGCGGGGGGCGG